CAGTGATAAAAATCCCAATTTCTCTACATCCTTATCAACACTTACTGTTTTCTTTTTAGTACAGTCATTCATGGTTTTATAGTGGAAACACTGTCACTGTCACTGTCCTCCCGTTGTTCATCGATTTGCTCGAGTGGGCCCAGTAACGTCTCCAGCTTGAGACTCGTTGTTACTGTGTTTGGCAGATTGAATATGTCATGGGTAGCTTGCCAGGCTTTGCCGTGTGGACAAGATACTCTTGGTAGCTTGCCAGGCTCTCCAAGAGGGGCGGAGGAATCGAACCCGGCTCGGCCAGTCTGGCTGTGCGCAAGGCAAATGCCCTACCGCTGTGCTATCGCTCCGCCCAAGTCTATAAAAAAAAAAACAGTAAAATCTGCTAGGAAAATATATGGAATATGCAAAAGTATCCTGATAAGACTATCATCAGATTTCTAAGTTAGAGGAAAGGAAAATTAATAAAACAATTCTAATAAGAATTGGTAAATCTTGGTGTTGAAATATTGAATGTCTGAAACATATCATCATGAACAACTTTGTTAGCTATAGTTTTTATATAAATTGTAAAAGAAAAATTTACATATGTATGCCTTTCCTATTTCATGTAAGCCTCACAACATATTAACACAGAATTGCTTTGAATAAAGGTAAAGGCCCTCCCGTTGATCGTCGATTTGCTCGAGCGGGCCCAGTAACGTCTCCATTGGAGACTTTGTTGTTACTGTGTTTGGCATATCGAATCGAATACTCTCGGTAGCTTGCCGGGCTCTCCAAGAGGGGCGGAGGAATCGAACTCAGGTCGGCCATGCTGGCCGCTTGTAAGGCGAACGCCCTACCACAGGTGAGACACGATTATTGCCATACTAAGATCCAAGTATAAAATTAAATATAATATATTATAATATACTTAAAAATTGGTAAATATCGTGCATAGCATGCATAAGACCTGAATTTAATCTTCAGCACTGGGAACCAGAGAGGTAGTATTTGGGTAAGGTACTTGCCTTGCATGTGGCCAGCCAGGTTCGATCCATAGCACCCTATTTGGTCCTCAGAGTACTGCCAGGAGTGATTTCTAAGCAGAGCCAATAGCAACCCCTGAATGCTGCCAGGTGTGGCCCCAAAACAAAAACAAAACAAAACAAAATTCCCAGGACTGCAAAAAAGAAAAAGAATATCAATCCCAGTAACAATTGTAATGAGAAGGATAAAATACCTTATATGTGGGAGTACACTTAGCAAGTGAAATAATTGTACATGGAAGGCAAAACATAAATGAAATAAATAACTGAAAGATAGTTTCACTTGTAAGTGGAATATAATCAAAGCAAAAAAACTGGCAAGACACAACAAAAATAACTTTAAGACTGAAAATATGGTGGTCACCAGAGAGAAAGGTCCAGTGGATTAGGGAAATCATTTTGATAGTTTTATGGCGTGAAAACTTTGGTAATGAAATGGCGATGCTTACATACTTAAAAACTTTGCACCTGTGCTCCACAAATTGCATAGTTTTGGAGACCACTGGAAAATCAATATAACTTGATTTTTTAAATTCCTCTTTTGTAATTCCAAGTCCTGTTTCTGGGAGTCTCTGTCTCTTTTCCAGGTTCCTAGACTTTTCTAATTACTTAGCTGTACCAGTCATAGTGGCATTTTCATTCTGAGAAATATGCTGTTAGGTGATTATGTCCTTAACATTCAGAATATAAATACACAACCCTGGTACGTGGTATAACCTAAGACAGGCCCAGGCTAAACGGTATTATCAAGTGGGACATAATGTAGAAGTTGACTTCCAGACCATGTTAGGGGACAGCGCTTAATATCATCCTAGTCAGTGTTGCATAAAAACCCTTTCTTTTTTTCATTTGAATTTGACTTATAAGCAACTATGTTAAGCATCTTTTCATGAGTCTGTTGCTATTTGTTTTTAATCTTTTTAAAAAACACTTATTTGCTTATTTGTTGATTTTTGGGACCACACATAGCAATGCTCAGGGCTTACTACTGATTCTGCACTCAGGGATCACTACTGGCATGACCTGAAAGAGACTAAAGGATGCTGGGAATCAAACCTGGGTTGGTGCATGCATTGCAAGCTCCTTACCCAATGTCCACAGTTTTTTTAAATTTATTTTGTGGTTCCAAGGATAAAACTCAGGAGCTAATACAGGTAAGGAAGGTACTCTACTATTGAGCTACACTCCTGGGCCCTATAAGTCTCTTTCTTTGGGTGTAGGGCCCAACCAGCAGCGCTCGGGTTTACTCCAGACACTGTGCTCAGGCATCACTGAGGAATTTTAGGGTGTCTTGGGCCACATCTGACCGTGCTCAGGGAACAGTATGAGACCCAGGAATTGAGCCTGGTTCAGTTGTGTGCAAGGCAAACACCCTCTCTGCTGTACTGTCACTCCAGACCCCCAGTAAGTCTTCAGGCTATGTCTATTCAAATACTTTGCCCAAGAGTCAGAGATAGTACAGGGGGTTGAAATACTTGCCTTGAGTGCAGCCAGTTCAGTCCCCAGCACCACATGGTCCCATAAGCAACCTCCTAGCACAGAGCCCTGGAGCAACACCAGATGTGACACACATCCCCCCAAAATCCTATTTGCAGTTTTTTGGGGTTTCACACCGAGCAATGCTCAGGGGTTACTCCTGGCTCTGTACTCAGGAATTACTCCTGGCAGGGACCATATGGGCTGCCAGGAATCAAACCCTTGTGCAAAGCAAGCGCCCTATCTACTGTGGTATCTTTCTGGCCTCTTTGCCCAGTTTTTAATCGGTTACTTGTCTCTATATTATTGAACTATAAGACATCTCAAATATTTTTGGATCAAACATGATTTGCAAATATTTTCGTGTATCATTGTGTAATTTTCTTTCTCTCCCCTCCCTTTTTTTCCACAACCAGCAGAGGTGTGTATTGGGAGTACTCCCAATTCAGTGTTTGGGGATCATACTGCAGTAATTTTGGGGACCATACAATGCTGGAGATTGAACCTGGGGCTCCCATATGCATGTATTCCAGACCTTTGAATCATCTCCCTAGCCCTCATTATGTAATTTTAAGACTTAGTATAGACCTTGAGCTATGATATGAGTCAGTGGTAGAGCCCATGCCTTGCATGCATGAAATACTGGGTTTAACCCCCAGGACTACACACGCACACACACACACACACACACACACACACAAAAAAAAAACACAAATAAATAAGAAATAAATGTGTATCTACAACTCAGACAAGCAAGACAGTATAGTTGGTGGGCTTTTGTCATTTTGGTTTCTTGGTTTAGGTCACACCTGGCAGTGCTCAGGAATTACTCCTCAATCTGTGTTCAGTGATCACTTCGGACAGACTTGGGCACCATATGAGGTGCTAGGGACCAAACCTGAGTTGGCCACATTCAAGGCACGAGCCCTACTTGCAACCAATATATTTTGATGAAAATAGGTACATGAATTAATAGGATGTAACAGAAAGTCCAGAAATGGATCTGTAAAAATATGGCCCATTATTTTTTCTAAATTATGAATACTGAGGGCAGGAGAAATAGCACAGTGGGTAGGGTGCCTGTCTTGCACACAGATGACCCAGGTTCAATCTCCAGCATCCCATTTGGTTCCCTGAGTACCACCAGGAGTCACTCTAAGGGCAGAGCCAGGAGTTACTCCTGAACATCGCAAGGTGTAGTCCCAAAACAAAACCATGAAACTATACCTACACCTCACAACTAACATAAATCCTGTCACTAAGAGTATGAATTATAAAAGAAAGTTAGTAAACTGGATTTCATCAAAATTTAAACTTGTGGGCCCAGGGGATGGCTGAGTGGCAAAAATGTCTACCTTGTGATTGTAAGGCTGTGAGTCCCTGTGCAGTGAAAATCCATGCCATCTCAGTCCCTGCACCTCTCTGAAATGTGATCTCAGCACAGCCAAGTGTGTGAGCACTGATGCAGTCACACACCTGGTGAGCACAGGAGTGTGCTCTCCAGAGGATTCATGAGTAGCACCACAACTCAGAATGATAGGGCCAAACTAAAAAAGAAATGTTGAGTTGGGCCAGTTAAAAAGTGAACTGTGGCATAGCTGTAGCATGACAACTGCTGACCAGTAAGGGACCCACAAGGAGAAGCTCTAAGGTAAAAGAATGCTGAGTGAAAGAAGCATGCATAAGAGATGATATGCAGTATGGTTCCATTCCACATGGCTTTTCTGGAGTATGAAAGACGCACAGTGACCATCAGAGTTTAAATGTGAAAGAAGATGGGACTGCACCAGGTGAGTAGGATAGGAGCAGTGCTTCATCATGCTACAGTGCAGTTACAACAATCTGTACACGTGTCAGCATTCACAGAGCCGCACACTCATAAAAGTCCTCTTTGCTACATGTGCAAATAAAATTCAGGGCACTATTAGCATTTGCCCAACTAGGGTGAGCAATACCATGATCTCTAAGAGCAGGTGATATTAGAGCTTTCTTTCTGGACCTTCTCCCACTTCTCAGGACTGGGAACAGGACATTTCTCAGTGCACGAATGGGAAATGTTGCTTTCTCTGCAGAAACTGGGGGAGTCACAGATCAGAAGTGGGTACAAACATGACTAGATGGTCTAGAGGATCCCATCCCAAGGTGCAGAGATACAGACACATTACACCCTGGAGGAAAAGGAGGAACCAGCTCTTCTACCTTTGCTCACTGTGGGATTCGGAAATGAACAAGATTGGCACTGGACTGCACTCGTTCAGGGCCCCAGACTGGCCAGGACCCTATCTCTCCTGCACTGTGGTCAGGCTGTGGCCAACACCCCTCTAGGCCGATCTGGGAAGGGAGCATGATAGCCCCCCACCCCAGCAGTTCCTGGAGCCCTGACTGCCACTGTCCACTTTGGCTGATAAGAGACCCCACCCTCTCCTGACCAATGGCAAAGCTGGCCCCCAACCCCTGTATAAAAGGGGGACCTGGAGACTGACCAGCACAAGGACCACTCCGAACACTCCCAGCTCAGCTCAACTGCCACCATGTCGCTGACCAAGGCCGAGAGGACCATCATCATGTCCATGTGGGGCAAGATTTCCACACAGGCGGATGCCATCGGCACTGAGACCCTGGAGAGGTGAGGCCAGGAACTGGGAAGGGACAGCGAGTCAATGTGTGTCAGCCAGAGGGTCAGTGAGAAAGACTGAGGACAATATGAGGATGACCAGTGGTGGGCAGAGTGGCTGGAAGGGCAGACGTCCCTAGGACTCTGTGCATGTGTGCGCGTGCACGTGTGTGTGTCCCAGTCTCACGACTCAGCACTCAGGCCTCCACAGCATCTGTTGAGTTACTGGACAAGCGGATGCATGGAGTGAGTGAATGAACGCGTGAGTGTGTGAGTGACTCGTGGAGTGAGTGAGTGAGTGTGTGAGTGAACGTGTGGATGAGTGAGTGTGAGTGGACGAGTGAGAGAATGGACGGGAGTGAAGGTCAGCGTTTGGTTCCACGTGGTTGAACGCTAGTCTCAGACTTTGGCGTGAGGTGGGTCTCGCGGCCCGCGGGTGCGGGCAGGGGAGCGCGCGGACGGCGGGTCCGAGCCCCCTCCGACGCGGCGCCGCGCCCCGCAGGCTCTTCACCAGCTACCCGCAGACCAAGACCTACTTCCCGCACTTCGACCTGCACGCGGGCTCGGCGCAGCTGCGCGCACACGGCTCCAAGGTGGTGGCCGCCGTGGGCGACGCGGTCAAGAGCATCGACAACATCCCCAGCGCCCTGGCCAAGCTGAGCGAGCTGCACGCCTACGTCCTGCGCGTGGACCCGGTCAACTTCAAGGTGCGCGCGGCGGCGGGCGGGGCGGGGCGGGGCGGGGTCTGCGCGCGCGCCCGCCACCCCCGCCCCCTGCGCGCGCTGAGCCGCCTCCTCGTCCTCCCGCAGCTCCTGTCGCACTGTCTGCTGGTCACCCTGGCCTCGCACTTCCCCGCCGACTTCTCGGCCGACACCCACGCCGCCTGGGACAAGTTCCTGACCGTCGTGTCCTCCGTCCTGACCGAGAAGTACCGCTGAGCGCCGCGCCGGAGGACCCCGCGCACCGCCGCCACCCAGTCCGCGCATCGGGTCCCTCATCCTGCCCTAATCCCCACCCGCTGCCCAGTGAAGCCCCAATAAACGAATCAACTGAACCAGTCTGGTCTCTGCAGTCACTGCGTCGCCCCGCGGATAGCAGAGGCGTGGGTGGGCCTCAGGGCTGGGCATGCAGGACAGGAGGGAGGGCAGCGGCAAACCGCGGTGTCCTGGCTAGCGGGGGTCAGTGGCCCCAGCGCGAGGCAAGGCTGAAGGCACCCCTCGGCCTGTGGTGCTGTGCAGAGCTGGTCAGTCGCGGTGCTGGGGGGAATCGACCCGCGTCTGTCCTATGTGCGTGACCCTGCCTGGTGCAACAGTGGGGAGATGTTCTGCTGGGGTAGGAACGTTTGTTCATTGGCTTGGGCTCCTATCCGACCAACAACCTAAACAAGCCAACTCACCACAAAGGATACTTGGCTCTGGGAGCTGATACCATAGGTCTGCACTTATGCTAGATGGGAGGGGGCAGGGGGATCCACACCTGGGATGTCCAGGGATCACTTCCAGCTCTTCTTAGAAATCAGGTGCAGTGCCAGGGTCAAACCAGCCTGCAGTTATGCTATTTTGTATAATGAAAGCAAACACATAAAAATGCGATTAGTGGAGCCAGAGTGGTAGGATGGCAGAGGGTGTTTGCCTTGCACACAGCCAACCTGGGTTCCATTCTGGAACCCCAAGCACTGCCAGGCATGATCTGAGCACAGAGCCAGGAGTAAGCCCTGAGCTTACTGGGTAAAAAAAAAAAAGGCCCTCCCGTTGATCGTCGATTTGCTCGAGCGGGCCCAGTAACGTCTCCATTGGAGACTTTGTTGTTACTGTGTCTGGCATATCGAATACTCTCGGTAGCTTGCCGGGCTCTCCGAGAGGGGCGGAGGAATCGAACTCGGGTCGGCCATGTTGGCCGCTTGTAAGGCAAACGCCCTACCCGCTGTGCTATCGCTCCAGAGCTTACTGGGTATGGCAAAAAATTAAACTCACCAATCAATTTTATTTTTTGTTGTTGTTTGTTCTGAAGCCACACCCAACACATTGTCTAGGGGTTACTCCTGGCAGTACTGGGGGAACTTGCAGTGCCCAGGACCAAACCTGGGCCTCCTGCATGGGAAGTATGTGCTCTAGACTTTGAGCTTGGCCTCCAGCCCCCACCATCCTATCTTAAAGCAAACAGCTCAGAGAAGTTTAGTGCAATCAAAATGAAATAACCATCACCTTTATCCAACTCTGCAGCTTTTCCGTCATCCCAAAGAGAAACTCTATACCCCTTGCTTCTTGGCTTCTACTGAGTCACTTTCTTTTTGTTGTAACTATATTGATTTCTAATTCTGGCTGTTGCTGAGATAAGCAGGGCTCACACACACACACACACACACACACCACCACACCACACCACACCATACCCCAACTGTGATGCAGTGCTCACCAGGGCTGACTGCAGTGCTGCTCACATACTTGGTGGCAGTGCTCTCCCTGGCTCGCACTCCTCTTGTTAGAGAGCTTGCACAGATGATCCTTCTGGCTGAGGTGCTCACCAAATTCTGTTTATGGTGCTCCTCAGGGGTCTTGCCATGTTCACACACATGCTGTCCAGGGGCTGCACTTCCTGGTCATGGGTCTCACACCTAGTCGTGAGTTTGCCAGGGGTCACAGCCCTGTGTGGTGCTTCCACACATCGGGCTGGGTGCAGCTGGCAGGCACTGAGGATTGCAGCCAGGGCAGCTGGGGCTTCAGCTGTGAAGTTGCCAGGGTCCTGGCCAGCATACCAGCATAGGCTGTGACCTCAGGATCCACATGCTTGCAAGGCAGGCTTTCTACATTCCTGCACTGCTCCTCTGGGCCCTCCCTTCCTTCCTTCCTCTCTCTCTCTCTCTCTCTCTCTTTCCCCATTTTTGTTTTTGGGCCACACCCAGCTGTGCATACTCCTGGCTTCCTGCTCAAGAATCACTCCTGGCAGGCTTGGGGGGTTACGGTACTGGGGATTGAACCAGACTCAGCTATGTGCAAGGCAAGTGCCTTACCCACTACCGTAACTCTCTGGTCCCCCAACTTTCTGTCTTTGGACTTACCTATTTCAAAAACTATGTGCAAAAGGAATCAGAACATTGCAGACCTTTGTGTCTGAATTAGCATATCTCACTTAGCATAACGTTTTCAAGGTTGATCTAAGTTGAAGACCATTCCAGAATTCCTCCTATGCTGAATTACATTCCACTGTTTACATATGTCACATGCCATTCATCCATTGGTAGACTTGTGCGTGTTTGTTTTTAATGTTTTTCAGGGTTTTCTGGGAGGCAAGGGTGGGGAGGATCTTTTCCTGCTTTTCTGCTTTGTGAATGCATTTTTCCTGTTTATGAACATTCTTGAACCATTTTTTTTCGATGGGGCCAAGGAAATGACTTGAGGACTGGAGAACGTGCTTTACATGCAGGACTCCCGGGTTCAGTCTCTAGAACCAATAGTCCCTCCAGGAGGGATTCTCAAGCACCAAATAGGAAGTAGCGCCCTGAGCTCTGCTGGGTATGACCCCCAAACAAACAAAAACAAATGATCTATGGTTTTCTGTTTTCGTTTAATATTGGTGAGTAGAACTGACAAATCTTCTGTTAATCTTTTTTAATTAATTTTGGGGAGGAGGTCACATCCAGTGATACTCAGGGGTTACTCCTGACTCTTCACTCAGGAATGACTCCTGACAGTACCCAGGGGACCAGATGGGATCCCAGGTATTGAACCCAGGTTTTCCACAAGCAAGGCAAGCACCTTACCCACTGTACTATCACTTTGGCCCCAAATTTTGTTTAAATTATTAAGGAAAGAAGCCATGAGAAGAACATAAATGGCTGGAGGACAGGTCATACCCAGGGCCCAGGTGTGACCCCTAGGACAGTACAGAGTCCTGAGCAAAAGGGAGTGCAGTTCTGGACACACCAGCACTGCCAGGGAAGCTCCCAAACAAACATTAAGAAAGAATCAAAGGAATGACAAACTTTCCCCACAGTGGTTGCACTATTTTATTACTTTTTGAGAAGGCACGGCAGAGCCTAGCAAGCTACCCGTGACATATTCGATGGGCCAAAGACAGTGACAATAACGGCTCTCATTCCCCTGACCCTGAAAGAGCCCCCATATAAGATGAGTAAGGACAGGCTGCTAAAATCTCAGGCCTGGGACGAATGGAGACGTTACTGGCGCCTGCTAGAGTAAATCGATGAACAACGGGATGACAGTGATACAGTGATACTTTTGGGGAAGAGCCACCCCTGGCAATGCTTGGGCCCAGTGGTACTGATACCAAGAGCCCCCCTCACCCCAGTGCTAGGGAGTGGCACAGAGTCAGAGTCAGGCCCCTGGAGTATGTACTTCCCCCTGCCCCTAGAGCTCTCTCCCTGGTCCTTAGTGTTTCTTTCCATGTTGCCATGATAGCAGTCCTGCTTGGTTTAGAAGAACCTCAGCAATCTTCTTTCTCACATCAGGCAGGGACCAACCAGCATTTCTGGTGCTCCAAGACCAGTGCTCAGCTCAGTGTGCAGGCTAAGGCAGACCAGCACACCAGCCCAGGAGAAGTCAATTTGGTCAGCGTGGATAAGGGGCTAAGGAAGGGGCTCACAGGGCTGAAACTCGGGTTCCGCATGTGGGAGCCCCAGCTCTATCCTGGCACTGATGAGCACGGCACCAGAAACAGCTCCAAGCACCAGCGGGCATGGCCCAAAACTAAATTAATAGTGATGATGATCAGTGGGGTGGCTCCCGTGGGCCTATTAATAAGGTGACTCTTGTTATTTAAGTAAGGACCCTGCAGGAGAAGATCAGATGGGGTTGATGAGGACAGGGTGAGAAAGGAGAGTCGGGCTAGTAGGAAGCAGGAGAGGGCAGGAGGCCTCGCAGCTCTTCACTGATCCACATCACCGGCAGGTTTCCAGGGGAGAGAAGAGCGCACACACCTAGCCACTGGCTTGAGAGCTGAGGAGGAGGACTGGGAGAACTAGACCAAGAAGATGGGACTGTGACCTTGAAGCCAGAGAGATGGCACAACAGGGAAGGCATGGGTCTTGCATGTGGCCAACCCGGGTTTGATCCCGGGCACCCAATATGGTCCCTTGAGCACGGCCAGGAATGAATCCTGAGTACAGAACCAGGAGTAAGCCCTGATCACTAGGATGTGACTCAAAAACAAAAACAACAGCGAAAAAAGCACCTACTTAAATGTGACTCATTTAAACTCATGACTTGAGGGGCTAAAGAGATGGTACAGCAGGTAAGGCATTTCCCTTGCACACAACCAATCTGGGCTTGATGCCCAACGTCCCACATGGTCCTCCGAGCACTGTCAGGTGATTTCTGAATGCAGAGCCAGGAGTAATCCCTGGGCATTGCTAGGTATGGGAAAAAAAAACTCCTGAGTTCAGAGTTCACTTCCCAGCCCACTCCCATGTGTCAAGAGCAGTCCCAACAGCTCTGAGGTTTCTGCCTCCAGCACCACAACTGTGCACATAGTCTCTGACACCTGCATCCAGGAGTGTGTGTGAGCTCTGCAACAAAGATGTGAGACCCTGGTGAGCACATGTGTACATGTCCTAACTAAAGGTTGCAACCCCAGGTGAGCACCACATTAAGTTCAAGTGTATAGCAAGAGGGAAAGGGAGGAGAGAGAGGGGGGAGGATGGGCCAGGAGCAGGCATGAGGGGAGAGATAGGCACTGCGGGCTTCATCTGAGGCACAGATGAAGCCTCTGAGCACAGGGAAGAGCCTGTGGACACGCATCAGAGATCCCAGGGCACAGACTGAAGTGAAATACGCAGAGAACAGAGCAGGCTCGAAGGACCAGAGGGACTGAGTCAAGACATGTTCAAAAGTGATGGTTTCAACTAACGCACTGGCCTCACAAAGACCAGGCAATCCTTGGCATTGCCCGTGCTGAGTGTAATCCAGGTTACAGTGTGCAACCCGGAAACTGAAACAACAAAGGAGAAGGG